TCCGCGTTAGTAAATTTTCCTCCCTCCGATAATAATTTACTTTCTTTTTTTTTCCGACAATTTAAATAATTTTAAATAGTGTCCTGTCCTTGTCTGAACGGGCTCGTGATGATCAGTTCATTCTTGGACTAGGGGCTATCCGCGTTAGATTTCTTTTTCCCCTTTATGTTCTTCATTTTTTTTTTCGTGCAAACTGCAACTTGCAGAATTTAAAAATAGCTTCATTACCCTGTCTGGAGCGGGCTCGTGATGACGATCAGCTCATTCTGGGATAATAGGCTACCCCGGGTATAAATTTATTTTTATTTTCTTTTCGTGTATTTACTATAAGTAATTATTTCGCGTCCCTGTCTCCTCGCACTCTCTTCGACCGTTTAATTAATTTTTCTTCACCTAAATAGCAAAATACCTACATTTTGGTTTAATTCCCGATACCGCGGTTAAACAGTCATCGAGATACACTAGACAAGTTTTCCAGGTTAATCCTTTCAAAACCATTTCCATTAGACGTTCAAAGGTAGCTGGGGCATTACAGAGACCAAACGGGAGAACCTGGAATCTGTATAATCTGCTGCCAGTTGAAAAAGCAGTTTTGTCTCGATCGTCAGGATGTACTCTTCTACTTGCCAGTATTCACTCTTCAAGTCTAGCGTGGAAAACCATTTTGCACCTGATAGAGTGTTTAGTGTGTCATCTATTCGGGGGAGTGGATAGCTGTCTTTCTGTGTTATCTGATTTAATCTTCTATAGACTACACAGAAACGAGTATATTCATCTTTCTTAGTTACTAGGACCACAGGTGAGCACCAGGGACCAGAAGCTGCTTCAATGATATTTGCAGCCATCATGTCCTGTATCACATTTGCTACTTCATTTGTTTAGCAAATGGAAGTCTTCTAAGTGCTTGGCGTATTGGCCTTGCATCGCCTGTATAAATTCTATGCTGAACAAGACTGGTACGACTCGTAGATTTTCCTGTCTCGAAAATGTCACAGTTGGTATTGATGAATTCCTTGACTTTTCTAAGTTCTTCAGCTGTCAGGTGGTCATAATTTTTAACTAGCTGTTTTACGAAGCTGGCGTCAACTGAGTTACTTGTGGTGGCTTTCTCCGTGGAACGGTCTTCGCACTTGATTATGTTTTCCACCGGTGTACAGAGCCTTATTGCTTGTCCTTTTTTCAGTTTGAATGGTCTCTTCGTTAAATTGGCAACCCTTACTGGAATTAGTTGATCAACGTTAACGAGACATCTAGCTACCAGAATTCCGTCACTCACGGATTCTTCACTTTCTACAATGCCCACATGCAAGCCGTGTGATTTCTCGCTAAGTCTCGCCGAGACGACAGTTTCAGAATTGTTCTACTAGGTCCTTTATCGGTTGAGTCTTCCGAATTTAGAACAATTTCCTCGTTTCCAATTACAAAGATCTTGTTTTGCAGGTCGGTGATAAACTTATTTTGCATAATGTCCATACCCAGGACACACTGATCTTTAATATCGGCCACCAGAAATAAGTGTTCTATCAGGATATTACCAATCTGTACGGTTGCTGATATCTCGTCTAGAACGGGAGTAGTGTGCCCTGTAGCTGTTTCCAGAACTAAGATTCTTTGAGTTGGTCGTGGTTTTCGATGTAGGATCCCTGTTCGAATAAAAGACTTAGTTACACCAGTATCAAGGACGAAGGTGCCTTCTTGGTTATCGATATACCCCTTGACCAATAGCTTTTGTTCGTTTTTATTTAAGGTGTAAGTGCGAATTTTGGGGCCCTCTGCTACAGCCGACGGTTTCCCCGTAGTGTCGACCTTTATTCGTTTCCCTGACTATTGTTAGAAAGCCGGCTAGGTGTTGAAGACCTGCTTCTCCGGGAGGCATATCTGCTATAATTACGCCTTGTTGGACTTCGTGAGGTTGATTTAGGTGAATTTCTAGAATTATTCTCCGATTTTCGATTCATAGAACGAGCCCTGTTTCGACAGGTTCTTTGAAGGTGTCCGATTCTTCCGCAATAAAAGCATCTTCTGCTCTCATTTTGGCTATTTTGTTGCATATTTTGCAGGATATTTAGGATTTTTAAGAGGGAAGGTTGAAGGATAGTTTTAGTAGTGGCGTCTTCACTTTCCTGGAATCTAATTTCTCTCAATTATGCGCGTGAACATCTAGATATAGTTTTTGCTGCTTCGTATTCCTGGGCTGCAATCAGGGTCTTACTCAACGTCTTTTGGTGTTGTAGCCGAAGGAGCCTGTTGCATATTTCCACATCCTGTAGTCCATCAATAAATGCCTGTATGCCGATTTGTTCTAAGAAATCTGTAGGTGCCTGTGGATGGGCCAGATGCAGCAATCTTATAATATCGGTTTCGAATTCTTGTAGACTCTCATCGTGTTTCTGACTACGAACTTTTAGCTGGCTTTGGAATACCTGTTTCAAATGCTGCTGGCCATATCTTGTCTCCAAAGCTTGGACGAGACATGAATAACTGGGTTCCTCTTGAGGAAGTAACTGTAAAACGGTTGCTGCCTGACCCCGCAGTGACACTATCAATGAAGCCGCCATCTCTTTCTCGGTCCAACCATTGGCTCTAGCTGCAGCCTGCAGCTTCAAATTGGAGTCGATATGTTTCCCATGTTGTCTGGCCTTCACACGTGGGTGGTTTCAGGGTCTTGCTACTATAATTTTGTGAGACTGGGGTTTGAATTCGGCTTGGGTCGGTTACAGATGAAGATGAGGCAGTGTTTTCAGCTTGAATGTTGCTTTCGGAAGCTTGGTTACGAATTCTTCTCTCTAACGTGGCAATTTCAGCTGTAATTTGCCTTTCCAACTCTATTCTAGACTGTTCTTGTTGATGTTCTAAATTAGTTTTTAGATTCTCTTGTTGTTCTAAATTCGTTTTTAGGTTCTATAAATCGGTTTTTAGATTCTCTTGCTGCTGTTCTAAATTGGATTTTAAATTATCTTGTTGTGTTAAGAGGTCTACTCGGTTGTTTAGCTGACCTACCTCTTGCTTAAGGTTTCCTGAATTTGCAGCACACCATTCATAATTTCTACCTCAGTTTTTTTACGCCTTTCTTTTTCCTCCTCCTCTTCCTCCTTCCTACGCCTTACCTTTTCCTCCTCTCGCCTTCCCTTTTCCGCCTTTTCTTCCTTCCTACGCCTTTTTCTTTTCCTCCTCTTCTTCCTTCCTACGCCTTTCCTTTTCTTCTTCCATCTTCAAAAATCATGCTGGTGTGTATCCATATCGGTCTCGTGTACAGTGAATCTAGTATTTACCATGAAAGCTTGAGTAACTTTATTTTAAATTCCACCGCTGTCACCAACGTTACACAGGTTTTTGGTATCTCAATTTATTTTAACTCAACTTTAACAATAATTATACAACTTATAAGTTTAACGGATAACGTCTATCATAAAACTGAAAACTGACGTAAGAATCATCGTTATATAACTTGCTTGACCCTTCTCGGACCTTCTCGAACTGTCGTCTAGACACATACTTTGATTACTATACGGTGCAAGAGAAAGGTCCGACCACATACTTTAATTTTCTTTTACTATACGGAGAATGGTCGCACTGCGCAGCTTTCTGAGTGCCTTTTAAAAGGAGATAGAAAACTCCGCCATTTTGAACCCTTATTACGTGTTGCCTACATCTTGGCGCAATATTTTTAATAGGTGCGTTTTAATCATCCGCTTTTGCTTCAGAATTGTCGGTTTTCTTGTTTTAATCTGACAGGTTAAAACGACTAAACCGACAATTCCGGAAGCAGAAGCGGATGATTAAAACGCACCTGATATTTTGCTTGCTGTCAGTGAATATTATTTTTGGAGTCACAGTTTATTGCTAAAGAATCAGTTAGCTCACTCGGACCAGTTGAAAGTTCCAAAATAACATCCACTCCAGCGATACAAATTCAGGATACGCAGAAGACTGCTGTTTTATTATAGGCGGTTGACACATATTGTATTATCCGAGTTGCGCAGTGTATAAACTGGAACAGTGAGATCAAAAGTGCCGACGCAGAGTGATCGATCTGATTCTTTAGCTATAAACTGTGTCATAGGGTTCAAAATGGCCGCGCCCTGTTGGGCGTGTCGGACCTCTCTCTTGTCCCGTATAGTAATCAAAGTATGTGGGTCCGACACTCCCAACATAGGGCGCCGCAATTTTGACAGCAACCAGCTTCGCCCTTCTCCCAGTATGACAACCGATCTGCTACTGCTCTTTTTTAAACCGCCTTCATGACGATCTCTCAATCTGCATATTTTTCGTCAACAGCCATTTTTGCTCCCTCTTTCTGAATAGCGCCACAAAGAACAGTTATTCGAGGTCTCTGTTTGATAAATAAACCATAAAGATACGTGAGAACAGTTTATTTGCATTTCCCCCAAAACACAGTTATGACTTAGGTTTTATGATTTTTTGCCGTTTTTGAGAGAACCGATGTGCCTACAGGTACCAGTCTGAATTAAATTAAATTTACTACAACTTCATTTTATATTATATTTGACGTGGGATGCGTATTTTAAAAGATATTTCACAAAATAAGTGACCATTTCGAAAAAATATTCACTTTTTGGAAAAAATTGCCTATTTTCGAAGAACTCTATCTTGGGAACCAATGACTGTATTGAGCTTACCTTAGTTCCAAATTGTAGGAAATTTAGTCTTCTTTAAAAGTATGTAGAATAACTATACCGGTCAGACCCTTTCTTCACTGAGACATTGAGTAAAAATTGAAAAACTCCGAAAATTTTGTTTTTCGGATACACCGCTGCTCGCACCAAACTTTTGAAATTGCAAATCTGGTTTTCTAATATTGGTTTAGGTCTTAACAATATATAAAAAATTCAGAACGACCGGACCTTTTGCAAGCACGGATGTACATCTTAATTGGCCTAAAATACATTTTACGTAGCATATTTCTATAAACTTCTATAAAAAAATCGCCGCTTTAAAATATAAGTACCTACTAATTCGTTTTTTATTGTATTTTTTAGCTATTATGGCAGATGCTTATCGCAACGGAACCCATATTATGGACCCCAGTACTTTAAAAATAGTTGACAAGTTAACTGATGTTTTGAAAAAATCAATACCTTATATTCACTCGGATCGTCAATGGAGTAAGTTATATAAGTTAAAAATACTATAATAAAAATTCCAAGCGTTTTTGTAATTTTTGTAAATTTATTCCATAAATATAAGTATTTGGAAAGAAAAGTATGTTTAACCTCTATACAATGTTAAGTCTTATCTCCCATGTAAACTGCGTTATTTAAAATAAAGGTAAAAATGCTCAGATCGTCAATTTTTATTTTAATCGATGCATTTTATATTATAAAAAAATCTCTCCCCTTTCATCTCCTTTACGAGACAGCCACCACCTTAATTTTTTAAGTAACACTTTGTTGGAAACACTAATTTATACCTATGAGTTATTATTATCAGGTTCATACAAAGGTTCTTTTAAATAAAATTTGTTACGTCCATTTTTTTAGATTTGTCTGGAAGTAACTGGATAATAATTTATAGTTCATTGTGGTTATACACCTAAATTATTATTTTGAAGATCTAAAGAAAAGGTACTTGGTCTGTTTATTTTAAATTATTTTGTCGCATTTAAGTGTGATTCATTTTTAAATTCCGCTTTTCAATCCCTTTCCAACAAAGTGCCAGAAAAAACTGGAGATGCTATAACGATAACAAAAGTGACGGCACCCGTAAAAATGCAATTTTTTTTTTTAAATAACATCATTTAAATGATATAATAGCTATTTATGAAACCAGTTGCGAAATGACTTATTTTATGTAACGAGTGAATATTTGCGGGACGAGCTGAGGGAGGTCCCGCAATATGAACGAGCTACATAAAACTGCATTTCGTAACGTGTTACATAAAATATTTTTTCTAATTTTGACAAAAATTTTGTTTTGGATAAACGTTACTGTCATTTAGGCAACCAATATTACTTTCTTATATTGCTAGTTGCATATGCATCATTTCATTGACAATTAGAACCACGATTAGAACATTTATTCTTAACGACTTGCAGTGTGTTTATATTGTTTATCAAAGTTATTTATTTTTCAAAAAGGTGGGTTATTTTGTGCTGATTTGGACTGGAAAATATGGACCAAAACAACATTACTACTAGGTTCTATTTTTATAAGTCAACCTGATCTTCTTTGATATAAACTTTCAATAATAATGTATATTATTGATTTTAAAACCAAAAAAAGGTTTATTTTCATTTCTTTTCTTTTCGCAACTGGTGACGTAATGAATTTTTCGAAACCAGTTTCATAATGTTCAACAGTATGCAACTGGTTGCGTATAATAGATATTTTTGACTCGCTGCGATTACAACAAATGCTTTATATATCAAATAAAAAATTAAATCAAAGTACGACTCCGTCATTTTAATTACACTTTTTTTATGTCACTCGCGAAATAATATTAAATGTCGTCTATACTTCATTCTCGATAAAAAAAGCAATGATGTGGCTGTCACGTGGAGGCGATAAAAGGGAAGGTAGATTTTTATATTGAAAAAGCATCGTTTAAAACAATTGACGGGTCCGAGCGTTTTTCAATTTTGGTTGAAATAATGAAATGTACAGGTTAAAAGGTAAGACTTAACAAATGTACTGTATACAGGGTGTTAAAAAAAAAGTTTCACAAAATGAAATGATGAATAGTATGACCCAAAATAAGCAGAAAAGTCTTAATAAATATATGACCGCAAATTAACGGTTTCGGAGATACGGAATATTTTGTGTTTATAACAATTTTTTATTATTATAAAAAAACAATGATATTTATAAACAATCAATAACAACATAGAGTTAAATGAGATGTTCAAAGTGCCCTCCCTCCATTTCAATGCATTGCCATTTGCACGACCGTACATAAAATGCATGTCAGCTAATTCAATATTAGTGTAAACAGGCATAACGAAAATTTATAAAATTATTCACCCACAACAAAATAATAACTGCAAATATTATCTATGAAAAAACATCGGTAGACTCCGATAAGAAATGCAAGTTTTTGAGAATGAAAAAAGATAATCAAAAAATGATACAAAACACAAAACACTCCGTATCTCTGAAACCATTCATTTGCGGACATATGTTTATTAAGACTTTTCTGCATATTTTGGCCCATAGTACCCCCCGTTTTATTGTGTGACACTTTTTTTTTAACACCCTGTATTATACAAAGTGGCCAGACAAAAACGAATCAGAACCATTATTGGCAACTATGTCAATATTTTAGACCAACGGTGGGACCCGTTAATTTTTGGCAGAGAATAATTAAACAACACACTCTAATAAATAATAATACTTTACTTGACTACGAGACTTCGTTACAATTAGGCGTTCCAACTATCTTTAAAAATGCTACGAACCGTGGCCCGTGGGTTATGATATGTCTTTGACAAGGTCAATGTATATACTGTGACACATTGAATATACGATAAAAATTTTCCCCAATTTATCTTTAAATACCAGAGTATTTTAAAATGTAACAAGCAAATTTAATAATGTTTATTTATTTTTTTTGTTTTATTGCTTTTATGGTATATAAAACATTGTTTAGCAATGCCTCCCATAAAAAGACATGCTGTGTATCGTCAATTAAGAGAATTTGAATGAGGTAGGATACTGGGTTTACGGGAGGCTGGGATGAACGGGCTCAATGGAATGAGGACTGGGATCGGGTCTTTTTTAGTGACGAGTCGATTTTACTGCTCGTGGGCTCATGTTGGTCGTAAGAGTCAAACAAAGACGTGGGGAAAGGCTCGAACTTAATTTTTGCATGGAGCGCGAGACTGCGCTCACCAGAGGCGTTATGGGATGGGGTGACATAGCAATTGGAAGCAGGTCATCACTAGTATTTTTAGACAGCAACAAACGACCAGATACTTTATTCCACAAGATAATGTAACCACACAGTTTTGTGTTTTGTGAAAAACTTCAAAACTACAGAGCTGGGCTGCAAGAAAGAATGGAGCCAAGAATCCATCGCGCTTGCAACCGAAAGACGTGCTATTCAGTGGTATACGGACGGTTCCAAAACCATAGAAGGAACTGGAATTGGAGAGTATGGGTCGAGAACCAAGCACTCCGAAAGCTTGGGAAAATACCCAAGCATCTTCCAGGCGGAAATTCACGCCATCGAGAATTGTATCCAGTTTAACATCGAGAGAAACTATTATAGACAAGAGATTATCATCATGTCCGATAGTCAAGCAGCCATCAAAGCGCTGAGCTCTTAAGTAATCAGCTCAAAAATGGTCTGGAGATGCCTAGAACAATTGAATGAGCTAGCCGAGAAAAATAAAGTTACTCTCACTTGGGTCCCGGGACATAACGGAGTACAGGGTAACGAGATTGCAGATAGTCTTGCAAGGAAAGGGGCTCAAACACCCTTTGTAGGACCTGAGCCGTTCTGCGGTATCAGCAGTAACATAATATTAGGAGAGATTAAAAAAGAATTGGGCAGTAGAACCGATAATTGAAACAATCTCTTGGGACTGAGACAGGCCAAGATACTTCTGGGTGAATATAACCAGAAAAGATCGGAAGCCTGCATCTGCCTGAGCAAGAACAGGCTACGTATTGTAACAGGGATCCTTACCGAGCATTGCCGACTAAGAGGACACCTAAGTAAACTGAGAGTAGTAGAGGATAGTGAGTGCAGATTCTGTGAGGAGGAGAACGAAACCTCCATTCACATCCTAACTGAATGTGTAGCACTCCAGAATCTAAGGGCACTATATCTAGGAGGATATCAAATAGAAGAGGGAGATTTACCTAACTTGAAGCCACTTCAAATCCTACACTTCCTTGAGAAAATAGGATTGGAAGGATCGCTATAGGCATTGAGACATTTCCTTAGTGCAGTGGCGACAGAAGGGGGCACAATAGATCTTTTAGGTCACAGTGTATTAACACCCCATTCTCAACATAACATAACATAACCACACTTCCATGGCTTGCAAGATCACCTGACTTAGCACTCATTGAACATGTATGAGATATGATAGGTAGAAGGCTCGGTCGATTGCAAACTCTTATAATAGATGTAGACCGACTAAGTTACGAGGTTAGATTCGCCTGGGAGAACATGTCTTAGACAGATATCTTTCATCTGATTCGCAGCATGTCACGAAGAGTTGCAAAGTGTCAAAACTTACTTGGAGGCGTAACTAACTAGTGATTTTTTATGAATACCTTTTGTTTGAATTTGAATTCAAACCACCATGTCAAACAAAACGTTTGACAGCCACAAGAAATATATACAACGGAAACAGCCGAAGGCTGAAAACGTCATAAACTTTTATTTCATAAATAATAAAAAACCAACGCCTAAAAATAAACAATAAAAATGCACAAGCCCTAATAAATAATTCTAATAGTTAAAATAATAAAGAACACACATAAATAATAATTAGATTAAAACAAGAAAACCGACAATTCCGAAGCATAAGCGGATGATTAAAACGCACCTATTAAAAATATTGCGCCAAGATGTAGGCAACACGTAATAAGGAATCAAAATGGCGGAATCTCCTTTTAAAAGGCACTCAGAAAGCTGCGCAGTGCGACCATTCTCCGTATAGTAAAAAAAAATCAAAGTATGTGGTATATACATATAGTTATATATATTACTCAAAGCGGATCGTTTTGGTAGCGGCCATATTGCTTAGCAAGTGCTCATTAAATAGAATCGGTTTAGCAATGTTTTAAGACCAATTTTCAGCCTTTGAATACATTAAAAAATAATTACCTAAATTTTCACTTCAAGACATATACACTTATGTGTATTATGAAAAACATGGATTATCAATCTATATGACTATCTATATGATTGACCCTGTCAAATCACTAGACCCACAGGGTTGCCATCACATACTTTGATTACTATACGAGGCAAGAGAGAGGTCCGACACGCCCAACATAGGGCGCGGCCATTTTGAACCCTGTGACACAGTTTACAGCTAAATAAGAATTAGATCGCTCACTCTGCGTCGGCACTTTTGATCTCAATGTTTCAGTTTATACACTGTGCAACTCGGATAATACAATATATGACAACCGCCTATAATAAAACAGC